TCACTTCACGACGTAGATGATGGTTATCTATTTCCATAGTATTAATATGTTCACGGTGTTCTTCAGAGATAGCAGCGTTGCGAGTGATAAAAAATCGTCTTCGTTGTATTTTACCCATGATTATGTTGAAGTTTAATTACTGTTAAAAGAAAAAGAATTTGGGAAAAATGAGGTGAGAAAAAGTTTTTCTCGAAAATTAGTAAAAATTATAATGGGAGTTTTTATACTTTTGAAACGCGTAGAAAAACACGTAAATAAATATGTAAATAATAATTTAAATAAACAAACCATAATATCATTACATCATTTTACATCATCTAAAATTAAAAATAAAAAATAATGTAAATAACACGAATCTATTTTTAGGAAATAGTCTGGTCAATTTATGTCGATCATTTCCTAATTATCAATGAGGTGATTAATTTTGATTGGCTCAAATCTTATTAAATTAAATATGATTTTTTTAAGTGGATTATATATTTTTAGTTATTATATTAATTATAGATATTTATTTTTTTGAAATTAATACAATACAATTAATTTTTCATAAAATTTTCACATCAATTAAAAAAATATAAAAGTAATATAGAATTTGAAAAAAATATCAAAAAGATAACGCAATTGAATGGATAGAAAATGCCATAAAGAATGAAAAGGTTAAATTTATACCATTTAATGAATTAATAAATTCTGAAGAAATTGGCAGCGGAGGGTTTGGATGAATTAAAAAAGCAACTTGGATTAAAACAAGAAGTTTTATTGTTTATAAAAGATTAACTAATATAAAATCAAGGTAATATATATTAAATGCATTTATCCATGAGTTGCAAATTCATTTACATCTTGATTCGAGTGATCAGATTATTTGTTGTTTCGATATTTAATCTATTTTAATTAAGATCGATTTTATTATTAATATTTAAAATATTTAAATACATTCCTTAGATTAAAAAGACTATCCTCTTATAATGCAATATGCCAATAATGAATGGCAAAGAATTTTAGAAAATTAACTTGGGATAATAAGAAAAAATTAGCCTTTCAAATCGCTGATGGATTAAACTATTTACATAATGAAAATATCTTGCATAGTAGTAAGTATTGGTTTTACTTATTAAATATTTTGATATTATACTTTTTAAATTTAGCATTCGAAGAATATTGTCATTCACGATAGTAATGCCAAAATCACAGACTTTGGTATTTCAAAAAATATGAATGCACAAAATTCTTCAATTCATATCGGAATTTTCGGTAGAAATCCATATATAGATCCAAAAATACTTATAGATTTAAAATTTCAACATATTAAAGCTTCAGATATTTATAGTTTTGGAGTGGTAATGTTGGAAATTTCTAATGGAGTTTCTCCATTTGAAAGTTTAATGAGCAAAGGCGATCAACGTATTAAAATTACAAGTGGAGCTCGTGAAACAAGTATAGAAGGAACACCTCACTGTTATGAAATGCTTTATAAAAATTGTTGGGATATGACACCAGAAAACAGACCAAAAATTAAAAACGTATTAGAAAAATTTAAGGATATGGGTTTTGGAGTAGACGTTAAGGATAATTCAAACTATATGGACTTAGATCCTAAGGAAGCGGAAATAATTGTTAAAAATACCTCTACTGAAGGTATGTATTTATGTAATGTATATAAATATATTATTTTATTAGATTTTTACTAATATATAGCAATACATCAATTTGATTCAAGAAATACAAACAAACAAATGTGATAATCTTCTATTAAATACACATTATAACTTAAGCAGTAAGTTATATTTTTATATATATTTATTATTTTAAAGAATTTATGCTAAAAATTCATTTATATTTTAGTTTCGCAATTTAAATAATAACAGCCATGTTATAGTATTTCTAACTTCCTATATTATCGAGTATATTTAACTTTCTTGGATAGTCCGTTTGGTATTTTGTTTATTTTTTTTTGTAAAGAACATTTTATTTAATATGAAATAAATATTCTATAAAAATTGGAATCAAATTCAAAAGTCCGATTTATCTTTTTTTATATAGAATATAAAGTATTTTCAGTTGTATTGATCGAATGTGATACTTTTGACCACAGCTACGATCGATCTTACTTTGAAAAAAGCTATCACATAAATTATATGATTTATTTGTTATTCAACAATTTAACCAATTTGGTTTATCTTGATCATATATTGTTTTATTAGGTTCAATATGGCACATGAACGTCAACTTTTAGTAGTTCTCCTAAAAATTAATTGCTATAATTTAAATTTATATTAACAAATATATTTATTATATAACAAAGTATAAAATAATCAGCTTTCCTTTTTTTCCGAATTAATTGACTAATCTACGTAATATTTCAAAAGAAGTATGTGTTCTTTTTTTTGCATTCGAGTTCGTAAAATAAAATTCGTTCACAAATTATTTTTGCCGAATTAAATGTATCATTTGTAGAAACCTATTATAGTGAGTTCAATATAAAGAAAAACATTTTTTTAACATTTACACCATGATAATTGTTATATATTAGTGTAAATAAATTTAACTAACCCGATGACTTGAGGTAATAGGTGTAGGTAATAAACAGATTGAATTCATTGCTTACATTTACGAGTTTTTAACCATTGAATAAGGTGGTTTTCATCTTGAAAAAATAGTTCACTTTTTTATAGATAAGTCTTTTGTGTTAGCTTTTTTGGTAGTATAAGGTGTATTTATACCTATAGATTGTGAGATATTTACAGCAGCTGAATGAGAATGATAAGCATCTTTCCCATGTAATTCTTTATTTGAGGTTGAATTGTTATGTAAATTGAGTGCAAAAAGGTTTCATTATCCGAAAATTCATCTCCAGAAGATCCATCCTCAATTGATTGAATAACTTGGATTATTTAATATTGGAGATTCCTTTGTAATGGTACTTTATGTTTATATGTATAGGTAATTATTCTGATTTAATGATCCATAAACCTGCGAATCTTGTACTTGAGAATTTTTTTGTATATTGCAAGTTTGAGTTTGCTGTTTTTCAATATGATTCAGTTTTTCTATAGAAGGTGAATAAATTTGTTGATGATAATCTTGTTTTTGTATCTGTTGCGGGAAAATTTGTTTTTGAGGTTTTTTGATACTCTCGTGGATTCCGGTTGATTTGAAGATCCAGTTTCCAAATTTGGCTCAACATTTTCTTTAAATATATCTTTTGAATAAATAATTATTAATATCTTTAGTTTATCACAAATTAAATAACAATATATATTTACCTTTAGCCTTTATATTGTATGATTTTTCTGTTTTTTTTTAGTTTTGGTGGTAAATTCTCGAAAGTATCTAAATCTACTAGTGTATCATTGAATTAATATTTATTGGTTTGTCTACAAAAAAAGAATTAAAGTTGACTTTATAAAAACAAATAAATCTATACTTACGGGGGGTGTATTGCTTTTTTGGTGGCATTTTGATTTTAATATTTCTATCGAAAAGATGATTAGCAACGAGACGAAAAAAAGATTTCAATTATTTTGTTTTATTAATTTAAGTATATATTTATTTTCACAACAATGATTCAATGTATCATCATGCGTAACAAATTATCACGAGTAGAAAATCACATAAAATTAGCCGTTAAATTAGCTATTGAATTAGCTATTAAATTAGCTTCATTTAGAAGCTATATTTTTAGATATTTATAGTCCTTAATTACCACTAATATTTAATAATTTAAGATCAGATTCCTAAATAGTTAATTCAGAAGTTGATAAAATGCAAAATAAACGCGTGCTATTGCCAAATATTTTCATACTTCGAAATTTATTGATTTTAGCAAAGATAAATTTTATTATTATATAAGTTTTAGTACCCATAACGCCTAAGAAAATTTGATGAATTTACTTAGATTTTAAGTGGGAAAAAAAAATATTATGTTATTCCAGCTATTCAAACACAACATTTACCGCGTACGTACAATTATTTTATTTTTAAACTCTTTTGAATTTAATAATTTATGCTAATCCAAAATAGTGGGATGATGTATATTCTGATTACTTTTAATATAAGATAGATTTTGCGCTTTTCTTCTGCATTTGAGATTAAAAATACAAAATATCTATACTTATGGATCAATTGAAAAATTAATTTATATACTATATAATCAAGATTAATAAATTTTTTAAACAATAAATTCTATCAATTTATCGAAGTTAATTCCTTTTTAATCGTAAATCTTGCATATTCAAGTAGATTTTAACGCTAGCCATTGTTCGGTCTCATTTCTACAAAAAATGTTGCGATTATCAATAAATGTATTTATTATAATAAATTCTCACTGAGAATTACACTTGTTAAGTTTTGTGCTAATAGTTTCTCATTTTGTATGCATTTATTTATACATTTGCTTCCTTCATACTCTGTAAATTATAATAAAACTCAATCGAAAAAATCTAATACAATATACTTACATTTTCGTGAATAAATTCGTTTATTTAACATAATTATAAAATACTCCGTTTTGCTTCTCTATTGTTGAAATTGGTTGCATTCAAATGAATGGGGTCGTCATTAATGAGATATAATAAATAATATGAACCGTACTAAAAACGTTCCCAAATAATTTAGGATATAATATAAAAAGTTTTTATTATATCTACATTTCGACTAATTTACAATCATGGTTTATAAAAGTATCGAAAAAATTTAGATTGCTTTAGATCAAATTGGAAAAATCTATTTTACATTTATAATCCAAATATGTATTTCCCAGTATCAACTAATTTATTTTTTCCTGGAAGTTTTCACTTTCTATTGTAAAGAATCCTAAAGTGTGATTTGTTTTACATAATACCAAACAATGTCCCAAATATTGTAGTTCTGATTTTCTCAATCAATAATCAGTTTAACTAAGTTCAATAAAAGTTTATTACAAATCATATATATAGTAAATAAGTCTTAATAAATTTACTTATTTCGCAAATAATATGTCTGAATTTTACGAAATTATTAAGAGCTTTGAACTGCAAGAAGAGGAAATGAATAAATTATTAATTTATCTAATCCACAATTATGAAGAAGTCTTCTTTGATAGTACGTTCTGTAGTTGTAGACGCGATTAAAGATTGTCATAATGAAGGCCGCATTTTTCAAATCATGTGCGATGATTTTACAGATGAAGATTTTGAATAACCCGAAATGTCTTTCTCAATAAGATACATGAAGCTTTGAAAGTTCAGAAGAAGTAAGTTCCACCTGTTTATGATTCCGTAATAATTACTTGCTAAACCACTTCATATCTCTTATTCAGTATCGATATTACACTTAAAAATTTAGGCAAATACTTGGAATTAAGACGTTCGAACTCGATCAAGTTATTGATATGATCTTAGGATTCTCAAATTTAAAAGAACATAAACCCCATTTTATAATTAACATAACATTAACGAGACAAATATAGAGGTTGGAACCGGTTGAGACAGATAACTTGTTAACCGGTTAAAGATTTTCTTTAACCAAAACTATAAATTTGGGCGGAGCTAGCGTAATATTTGTAATCACAAAAATCTTAATTCTGGCCGAAATTAAAATTTCGGCCCGAGTTAAGATTAACTATTTTAACCGGCCTAAGTTATATTTAACCGGTTATTAACCGGTTAAGGATTTTTAGACCAGTTCCAACCTTTAGACAAATATATTAATTAACGAACAGTTCTCAAGGCTTTTGCAAGTGTAATATCAGATGGTTACTTTTTTTTCTTTATATTAACAGAAACACACACAATCACCTTTTTTACTTTAATAAGTCGACAATCGCGAAATTCGAAGACATAGCTCTACCATTGTTCAAACCTGGACATGCTAAAATAGTTATATTAGTACTTGCTAACCGGGAAGTGGTATTAATGTTAGGATCGCCATTAGTAGATATGTAATAATACTTAGCTATTGTAACTTGATATTTTTGTTTCTCTGATGAAACAAAAAGGTAATAATATTAGTTGTAGATTACGTATTTCGTAACATTATTGATTATATTGTTGCATTGTTATCGGCAAGGTCTCCACCTATCTGAGGTATATAATTGAACTTTTTGGTGTTGTTGGTCGTTTTCTAGAAGTTACGATATTTCAGATGAGCATCATCGGTACAGCCGCGGTCTAACGCATGGTGTATCAAAGTAGATTATGAAGTTTCCTTCAAAATTGATAAGATAGACCAGAATTTTGCCAAGACTTCTTGAGGCATAAAACATTACCGGTACTTTTGAAACTTTTATGACTTTTATGACGAATGACAATCTAGAGCTTTTTCCTATTTTAACAGCCTACACTAGTGATGTGCATTTATACTTCCAATAGTATACAATTTTTGATTGGAAGCTTCCAAACCAAATGATTTTATAAGGAAATTATGCTTCCAAACCCTCCAAAGGTGCTTCCAATAGTGCCTCCAATCTTCCAAGAGCACATCACTGGCTTCTTGATCGATCACTTATATTTGATAGTAAGAAAAGTAAAGTTGAAGTAAGTAGTGCACTTAAAATCCTGATATTTGGTACCTTCGATATAAATACCTAATTTTTATATTCTGCAGGATTTGGAGAAAGATGAGCTTATTTTCCTAGAGGGCAATTGTAGAAAGAAGCTGAAGCTTAAGCTCCCTTTCTTACTCTCCATGGAAATTATTCTAATCTGAACGGTTCCATAATCCCATAAATCAAGGTTCTCGATACCCTAAGCAATGCATTATCTCCGGATCAAAATGAATATTTAACAATATGTTTCAAATATGGGCAATTCACCAGAAGACAATTGAAACGAAATCTACTGATCCATACAAATGTAAACTCTCTCAACTTATCCCATTTAGAAGTTGGAACAGGCCCAAAAATCCTTAAACGGTTAATATCTGATTAAAATTTTCTTTAACCGGTTAATTAACCGGTTAAATTTAACGCAGACCGGCACTATAAATTTGGTCAAAACTAGTGTAGCGATATTTAGTAATTACACAAAAAATTCTTTTTTGTAATTCTGTGAATTTTTCGTAGCATTTTCAAATTATTTTTGATCAAATTTTTGGTGCCACTTGTTGAATTCGACTGACAGCAAACTAATAAGATAAAGAAGTCTTCCAAATAATTATTCTATAAATAATCTGAATAAGGTTGTGACTTTCGAATATGTATAAGAGAGTCACGTCAGAAAGTAACGCTCGAATGAAATTATAGTAAAATGTATATAAAAAAATTTTTATAAAGTTTAAAACTAATTAAGTTTTTGAGTTTAAGATAGTAATCATTTTTTGCATTCAAATGTAATAATTTGATCGGTAATACGATTGCATATACGGTTTAAAAATTTCAATTTTTATATGTAAATTTTTATTTATAATAATAAACAGAGAAAAAATGATTATAAAAAGTTTTCAACTTTTATAATTAAAGTAGCTCGTGCATTTTAAGTCTAGGACGTCTTTTGGTTTATTTTTTGAAAGTACATTTGATTAGCCATAGAATAATACATAATTCAAATATAATTTTAAAGAAAAATGCAAATATTTTGTAGCCTTAAATTTTCTATTTTTTTATGTTTTATTATAAATTTTTGATTGGGCGTTATCGATCCAATGATCGATTTCGATTTTCGCGTATTGAATGAGGGACGATCAAAAAAAAACATAAATATAAATGATTTTCAAAAAATAAAATTTTTATTCAAAAGCAGGTAATTCAGATGGAATTCATTCCTTTATATGAATATTTACAGTTTCAATTAACTTTACCTCAAAATGATGATAAATGAATTGGATTTTATGGTTAAGGATTATTTTGCAAATATTGTAAATAATATGTATTGGAATTTTTATTTATAAAGATTTTTTTTTTAAAATTTATATTAAAAAATATTTGTATCTTCTTTTTTTATCGAAAAGTAATAGTGTTCAAATAATATAGCTAAAGATACTTTGCTATTCATTATGTAGATCAAGGATTTATTCATGACGAATTGTAATAGGTCTTAAAACTTGGTATTGACCTAAAAGCTTAACCAAATAAAGTTAATATATGAAACCATGCCATGATCGATTTCTATCATGAATCGCATGTAACATTAGGAAAACAGATATGTATTAATATTCAAGAAGGTTCGGAATGTCCTGTATTGGATATGCATTCAGAAATTCGTTATTATTATACTGTATAAACAAAGAATAATTATTGTTACTTACAAATGTAATGAAACTTCTATACAAATTTAGTTATGAACTTTTAAAATATGCATACTCCACTTTATGTGTAAGAACCTTAATTTTGAGCAATAACGATTAAAGTTTTATTTTTACTTTATTAATAGAATTTAAATCTTAGTTTTAATTTTTTTTAGTTATCTGCTATCACGAGGACGAACACGGATTCCTCATCTTTTTAAAATTATTTAAGACAAAAAATTAGAATTCATTAATATATCATACAATCAATACATTCTGTATTTGTTCATTTTTTAAAAGAATCAATTTAATGGTATTACATTTATTTTATCGATTTATAAAGAACCGTAAAAAATATTAGATTATTCATAACCTTAATAAAAAAAAGAAAAGGAAATAATTATGTGAATATTGAAAAAGGTTATATTAATCAAATAAATAAAATGTTTGTTGAAAAAGACTATAAAAATCAAATAAATTAAAGGATGTTGAAAAAAAATTTATGATCAATACGGACGACATGGATATACACTCCAATCATTTCATTACCATGGAAATGCCAACATGCATCTCCATTATTTTGAAATGGGCCTTTCCATTTATCGTCTTCAAAAGAATAAACCACTCCGAAAATTTTAATTTATTTGTAAACTAAAATCCGAATATCCTATTCATACGGGGTTTTATGATGTTTGATGAAATATCGAAACTACATTTCTTTATCCCTCTAGCTTAAGATTAATTTTTGATATTTTTTGTTGCATATTAAATATCAAAATTTGGGTGCCTTCGGCTGACAGCAAAGCCAAGAACAGATTAACAAAAATAAAAAAAGTTGAAAGATCTACTAAATCCAATTCTATTTTTGATTTTTGCGTGTAACGGACGATGACATTTATGATAATTAAATATCTAATCCAGCTTCATGCAGGTAATTATATAGGTGCAGCAATTTTTTATCTAATATTTATTGGGCCCACTCAAATAATTGATGCCAAATGACTATGAATGTATGAAAAATAAATTGTATTTTATGGTTAAGGATGCAAAATTGTAAATGAAACTTTTTATATATCTTCTTTTATTTCATAATGTGAAAAGAGTTCAACTAAAGAATACTATGAAAAATGGAAACAAAAAATTATGTAAAATGAAACGGTTTTTGCTTTATTATTTTATTATAAATTATTATTAGAAAAATTATTTTTACTGCGGAAGTTAAAGAATAGGCTTTGTAAATTTTTTTAATTTTTTTTAAGTGATGCTTCGAAGTTTGACATTTTTTTTATAACTTATTTAGGAAAAACTTTGAAATTTACAATTAATTATTGGTGTTAATTAGATTCTCTATAAAAAGTTGATCCGTGTTTCGTTTTCCATGATTTTTCCGTGAAGGGCTCATTTTCACGGAATTTATAATCTTAAATCACGGAAATTTTCACATCATCACAGTAATACGGATTCCGTGAAACTCCCATTTTTACATAAGCCACGGAGAAATATTCGGGCGAAAATTTTTTATAGGGATTGTTGATCAACCGAAATAGACCTTTTCCAATAATTTTAAAATTCTTTTTTTTTAAATTAAACAAACATACTATCTTTTCAGAATGTGATGTGATTTCAAAATGACATAAACCGTTTACGAAAAAAGGGTGCACTTGTTTATTATCAACCGGATAATTTTTTTTTGAATGACAATTTTTTATTAGAAATATGTATGCCAAATATATTATTTTAAAATTTAAAAGGATTGATGTGCGTTCATTTATGATATACATTATTAGCTTTCATTCCAATTGTAGATTAAGCATTTCTTTCAATCTCAATCATTCTTAACATAATCCTTTATACTAAATAAAAGATCACATAATGACGTAGAATGATCAATTTTATTATGCACATATTTGTTGCATAAAACAAAAAAAATTAAATAAATTTATTATATTAATAATAAATTAAGATATTATCATATTTTAAAATATCAGAATGCTAATTTCATTTCTGTACAAATTGCAATTTATCATTTAAGTAACCTAATTTAATAAATATAATATATTAAAATATATAAACATTTTCATAATCATCAGTGTATCTGAAAATGTAGTATAATCATTGTGAAAATATAAAAACCATATACTGTATACTTTAAAATTAATACTACGATAGTTCAATATTAATATTGTTATGATATCAATGCTTTAAGTTTTAATGTACGTTAAATAGGTTTAACCAAAAATTATGTTTATGATGTAATTAACCCGAATAGATAACTTTATAAATTTCTCATGAGCAAGGTTTAATTAAATGTAAAAATAATGCAAAATATCAAATTCAATTATTGACGTCTATCCTTACATATAAAATTGGTATTAGTTTATATTAATATATCAATATTTCATATTTCATTAAATTACCTTTTAATTGTAATGAGCTGGAAATTCCTAACTCGACTAATTGAGAATCTTGTGAATCTATTAAAATGCATTATAGTTAATATTTTTAATATTTATATTTTATTATCGAAAATTAAAATTTAGTATATAATACAATACCTTCATTATTTTCATCCTTTTCAAGATATGAAGAAACAAAAGACGAATTAATTGGTTTTGACAAATTTTTAAATGAAAATGCTCTACTTGTATATACAGCATCAGGATTTGTTTTACGTGAAATTGAAATATTTGGTATCTCTTTATCAGCTTCTTTAAATGCTTCTTCTATTTCTTTTCCATAATATCCATATTTTTTAGTATCTTTATAATTCTCACAATAAAAATCATAAATAGATTCATGCCAAAAAAGTAATATACCCCTCAACTCATCGCTCGATGGTCTTTGATTTGGATTTGCATTCATACACCTATAAGCCAATTTCTTATAAAATTCAGGAGTTCTTTTTCCAAATTCTGGACGAAGTCCATTACAAACATCTAATGTTAAAGATACGTCATGCTTTCTATTATAAAATGGAGGGTTTCCAGATGAATACTCAGCCATAATTACACCAAAACTGTAGATATCAGAAGCAAAAGTATATGTTTCTCCATTCAAAACTTCTGGGGCGATATATGGTAATACTCCATATATTCGATTATCTGATTTTTGCTTATCTGCTGGTCCTGTTAATCCAAAATCTGAAATATAAGAGGTAATACCATCTTGTAAGATATTTCCACTATGAAAGTCCTTATGATAATATCCGACTTTATGTAAATTTTTAAGGTCGGCAGAAATTTTAAATAATTTAAAAATTTTTTCTTTCCATAAAATTTTGTTAAAATTATTTGAAAGACAACTTCTCAAATTTCCATCAGGTAAGAATTTTACAATCATAATAAATTCTTTTGTTTCTGGATCCTTAGTTATTCCATAAAAAGTTAATGAACTATTATAGCTATAATATAAATCCCAATGTGCTTTAAGCTAAAAATTTAAGAAAATTAGAAATATTTTATTTAATAAATATCAAATGTCAATATAAAATACCTCATTAAAATATTTGGCCGACATATTCTGTGATCCATTTAACCTTTTCAATGCAACCGTCATAGGATCAGGATCTGATTTTTTCCAATTTCCATCATCTTTGTTTTTAAAATATGATTTACCATCGATCCATGTTGCAGAATACACTTTGGCAAATCCTCCTTCACCTATTTCTTTTATATCTGTGAATCTATCAAAAGACACCCATTCAAGAAATTTTGATCTACTATAATTTCTTGCATTATACATAGTATCTTTGATGAATTTATCAATATCAGAATTTCCACTAGTCCATCCTTCAATTATACACCGGGGATCACATTCTTTACACCATAATTTCTCTCTAAATGGTTTATCACAATAAGAACATTTATTATTTTCTGAGACATTTGATTTGTTGAATTCAAATTCTATTAGAACGTGTGCTTCATTTTCAACTTCCATGATTTTTTTTAAAAAGAAAGGAAAAAAAATTTTGTAAATTTCAATAAGGATATAAAAGGAATTATCATAACCAAATTTAGATGAACGGAAAATATTTTCCGAACACAAATCAAATGATCGGATACTGCGGAAATTATTAATTTTGCCAAGTATAACTTTAGCTCAAAATTTCCTTAGGTTCTTATACATAGTCAATTTGATCAGATAAATGTTCAAATACATATAATCAAATTAAAGTTGTTGAATTGAATTAGATACGATAATAAAGTAATATATATTAATTTAAAAATTATATATTTGTTTATTGGAACATATTAAACATCTCAGGGTTACAAAGATATTAAAAGCTTCTACAGTCAAACTTTCATAACTCCTTAAAAAATTATTTTGCTATAAAATTACAATAACTACCTTGAATATTCGCATTCTCCGGTAACAATTTTACCAACTCCTTGAATGATCCCGCTGCCGATAATTAGCCTACCAAATTTTATCTTATTTATGTTACTTACCAACTTTACCAAACATTAACAGAGCTATCAGTCATATTCCTTTTTAACAACTTTTTATTACAACAATACTAAAATAACTAGCTTCCTTATTCTTTAAAGAATCTCTACCTAAATTTTAGTCTCGAAAATTAAATAAGTTTCGTTCATAATTTGTCTAATTCTTAATGTTACGAAAATACTCATTACAGGGCAAAATAAAATATCTGTTCACATATTTGCATATGTGATCTTCTTGAACAAAACTTTGCTTCCATGATATGAATTATAACTAACTAATTTATACATTTTGCTTGTTTCATTGAGAATTAATTCAATATTACTGGAGAAAACATTTAGTCATTATTTAAAAAAAGTATTTTTTTTTTGACCATTTCTTTGTAACAAGGTAGAAATTGGAAACGTCTCCTAACTATTTACCCCATCATTTGTATATCGGGTACCAGGTCAAATTTTATAATATTAAAGTTTACGTTTTAACTTAAACTTCGTTGTGTGGTTGCACTCCGAGAGAAATTTCTGGAGCATCGACAGCTGTATCAGCTGTATTAACTAAAGGTAACGAATCCATAATAGAATTTGTGTCATAGGAATGGCTCATCATACATAAAGCTAATGTTAGTGGTAAGTGGGGTAAAGATTTGAAAATTAATAATAAAATTCAACGGGAGTTACGTAGAATATTTCCCATGGATTATTTTTAATATTCAAATCTAAACAAATTAAAAGCTCATCAAAGATGAAAATAAATATTTGTGGTATCGATAAAACTTCTCGCGAATAATGTGCAAATCAGCAAATCAAATTCTTTTAAATGAATCATTTAACGCTTGACCTTGTTATATTCATCTGATATGCTTAAATTTTTTTTTTAATTAACCGGGTTGATTAACTCAGATTAAGTAATTTAATCGGATATCCGGGTTGTCTGATTTAATGCGGTTGACCAAAAGCCGGTTAATCCCCTACTACAGAGTTTCCTTATGATGTCATTCGTATATAATAATTTTTACTAGTTATTTTTGTTGAAACAGCTAAATGTTAAAAAGTTAAAATGCAGCAATGTAGTAATTCTAAACCATTGTAGATTTCTATAAATTATAAAATTATAAAATTATACTCTTATCCTTAGAAACTTTACAACATTTATATAAGTCAAATATTAAGCACATTATCAACATATTTAATATATTGGACATACAGATCAGATCTTATATATTAAAATGATGCGTGAAAGGATAATACTGTCAAACAAATCATAATAAATTAATGATTCAAACAATGATCAAATGTTGTTTAGCCTTGCAATAATTATTCATGCTTTTCTTTCTTCTTCATCCTTCCTAATTATACCTTTTTATATTATTAATAATTTTCTTCCCTCATCTTTTTAATTTGTCTTCCACTAGGAATATCGTGGAAATCTTAATTTAATGTCTCATATAAGGAAACACAAATTTGGATTTTTCGGTCACGTTATACGGCCGGGTCACTTTTTGAATTTCAATCAATTTATCACGTGACTTTGAAGTATAATTTGGGTGGTGCGGATCATATGATTTACTATGACTCGTAACTCAATTACTAACCATTTTATCTTATTCTCAACTGATATATCACAGTCTTCAAAATATCGAAAGTTATTGGTATCATATTGACATGCAGCTTCCCAAACAATGCATTGTGCGTTTCTCCAATTAATACTTTCGACAAAATTTGCATACCAAAAATACGGTGGAATGAACTTCAAAAAAATCTTTTATTTTTGTTTCTTTTTTCAACAGGTAAACCTTCCCATTCTTTATCACTTTTAGAATTATGACTTATTCGTACATGAATGATAAACATTTTAATTTCGAAATGGTAAAATTGATTTAGAGATGAAAAATTCGTATTAATTATCATTTATTGCTTATAAATCACGTGATATGGAATTTTATAATAAAAAATAAAACCTGGGTTCCGGGTCAGTTTAAAATTTTTATGTCACGTGAGCCGAAAATCAAAATTTCTTGCCTAAGTGTGCTTTGAAAGTGTACTTTATATGCATTAAATATCCTTTGCGTTTGCTTTTTTATATTACGTGATTATGTATGTTTATTTATAATTGTTCTCGTGCGTGAACTACGGTCATGAAGCTCGATGACATTAAAATGTTTGTCACGTATCGGCAGAATGTAAAACACTTGAAACATTATTATATCAGAATAAAATTAGGAGTCGTTTTACAGCATACAGCCTGTGAACAAAAATGTTGGTCAAGCATTATGACCAAATTTATATTATTAATTGCGAAATTCTACAAAAATATTTTTGATGCGTGTATAACCTCACCATAACCTATAAACTATACTATATAATAGCAGAGGAGTGAGGGTGGTAAGAAAATCGTAACTGGTAATTGCAAATTTGTAAATTTGCAGGAAAGAGAGAATTTGGGAGGTGGGTTGAATAAAATGGTCTAGGAGTCTAATTTATACTGTAATAGTCTAAATTAATTCATTATGCCATTGAATACGAAAATTGATTGGCGCAGTAAGTGAACGGCATATCGTTCCTAGCTTACCGTTCTGTTTCAATTTATTGGACTTTTGTCGTCAATTCCAAACGATTTCTTTTTAATATGTTAGCTATGTTTTATCTTTTTATGAAGGTTACAAGTATGATTACATGATCATATATATCAACCAAATTTAATACGCTGTTTTGTAGGATTCTCATTTCAGAAAATTAAAAAAAAAAATCTATTTTACTATTTTCTTTATTTTTTATTTATTTCTTTAGGAATACATTAGTGCTCCGTAAGGGTCGGGTCGGGTCGGGTTTGAAGCAAACTCGAACTCGAACCCGTTAATATTTACAAGACC